TTTTAAAATATAGATCAGTTATTTAATCGGCTATATTATTTCCTTAATTTACTATATTTAAAACCCTATTAATAATTCGATTATTAATACCCGTAACGTATTATTTAATAAAGATACGTTCTATTCTAAGGAAGTACTAATCGAAATATAATTTTTAAAGATTTCTTCCAACGAGTTTATTATATTATTCTAAAAATATAATTAGACGGCTCTAATATTAGAAATCCCCGATTTCATCGGTAGCCGAATCGATTTTAAAAATGCCTAAACGTACGATATACCTAGCTCCCTCCTAGAATTTAATTAAAGCTATTAAAAAGGAGAAACCGACCGTATATTTCTAAAACCTCCACTAAAGAATTCGAATACCCCTATAGAAAGGATATCTATCGATTTTATTTTTAATAATAAATATCCTACTCTTTTAAATATACTATTATTAGACCGACCGCCGCCTATTTCCTTCTTCGCCGGTTTCTATTTTAACCCTCGTATTAAAAACGAAATCTATAACGGCTTCTAAACCTTACCCCGGAATTAATAATTCATTTACCTTCCTTCGTTTATATACTAAACTCTAATTCTAATACCTCTTTTATTAATTTATATATTTCTTTTCCTAATTTATTTAACCTTCATTTATTTAACTTAATATGAGGCTATTTAGGAATAAATTTAAACAAACCCTCTACAAATTTCTGCTTAATACCCCCGCGGCTTCCCGCGTAAATAATATTTATATCTACCCCGCTACTACTCTTACTAGCGCTCTTACTATTAATTTATTTATTTCTTACTTCTAATTTAAGGGGAATTCTAAATTTAAAGGGAGTTCCATTAATATAATTAGGAGGAAATTCCAACGTACTTACGCTATTATTACCCTTATCCTAATTATTTTTCTTTCTATTATTCCCGGACGGATTATTATAATTGCCGTTTTAATTATTTTAACCGTCCCTATTAGAACCGTCCTTACTAGAATTATCCACGCTAATATTTAATATTATTTATATTAGTAGCGATTTAAATCTTCTCGACCCCGATTATTAACGTACTATTATTAATCGTTACCCTAAGCTACGCCCCCCGGTTCTTACTTTTCTTAAGAAATAATAGTTATTATTAAAAATTATTAATAAATATATCAATATTGATTTCTTAGCCCTTATTATTTTTATTACTCCGTTTACTCCTAAATTTAAAAATCATTAAAAAGTTATAAAACGATTAAATTCATAATATTAATAAGCTACTATATAGGTAGAATATTGATCGTTCGTCGAAAATTAGACCTAGACCTTTATTTTTAATAATCTTGGCCGTCGGCTTTTAATTAGGAAGTAGGTTTATAAATTTAAAACCGGTTTTAATAGTAAAATCCTTCGTTATAAGGCTCGCTAGGTAATTTACAGCTTTAAATAGCGGGAAAGGATTAATTATAATAAAATATCCGTTTCGGTTATAAAATTTATAAATTATAAATTTATTTTCGCCTTCGCCGTTGCTTTTAATTTAGAACTAAAATAAAAAAATGTTTAAACTATTTTTTTCTATAATTTAATTAAAGAAGAAATTTACGTAGAATAACCCTCCGGTATTATTAATAATAATAAAATTTTAATATATAAATTAAATTGTAGCTTCTATAACTTTAAATCGAATTTACGTATTTAATATAATATATTTACCGCCTTCCTTTATACTTTCGGCTTTACCTCGCTACCTGCTAATAAAATTATTTTTAATAAAGGTACTACCTATATCACTACTTATATTAATAATTTATTTATTGCCAGCCTATCTAAATCCAACGTTCAAGCCCTAAAAAATACCTTTAGCTAATAATTTAAAATAACCGATATAGGTCTATATTCGTATTACCTAAATATAGTTATAATTCGCGATAGACTAAATCGTACCTTTAAATTTAATTAGAAAGCTTACTTCGAAAAAGTATTTAACGATTTTAATATATTAAATTATAATATTATCTCTACCCTTATAAATACTTATAAAATCCTTAAGCCCGCCGACGATTTTAAAATTTCCAATATTAATAAATACTAATATATTAATACTATCGGTTCCCTTATATATATAATATTTAATATACGTCTAAATATTACTTTTATAGTATCTTTCTACAACTGATATCTCACCAAACTAATTCTAACCTACATATTAGCTGTAAAACGCATTTTTAGGTACCTTCGTAATATTCTTACCCTTTACTTCACTTATTCCGGCCTATCTTCTATTATTTTTACTAATTATTCGGATACTAATTAGGGCGGCGATACTTTTATTAAACGTTTTATAAGTAGTTATATATTCTATATTAGTAGCGCAACTATTAATTAGTAATTTAAACGCTAATAGACTGTTACCCTATTATTTTACAAAATAAAAGTTATAATATAAATATAAGTAATTAAAGAAGCGATCTAACTTAGAAGATTACTATTTAACTTATCTTTTATAACTAATTCTACTATTATGTGACGAACGGCAGTCTTGATCTGCCTAAGTGGGATAGCTGAAGGTAAAGACTATCAAGTGCAGTTCGGTGAAGCCAAAGGGTTCACAACAAGTATCGCGTACAAGTTTCTGATGACGATGGTCTATTAACTACTGTCGAACTATCTCGCTAGCTAGGTTCTCCAGGCGCCTTCTTATATCGCTGCCATCGACTGGGACCCGAGTGTCCTTAGACTCTTGATGTTGTCCTGGCTTACCTTAGAGAGTCTGGCTCACGACGTGAGCCCTCATAGTCCGTGAGCCCTCTGGTCCCCTGTCTTACTGGCCTTCTATGGTTACACCGCCCCGCCTCTGCGTGGCTGTAGTGTCCCAGTGGCTTGGTTAGCTCGTGTCACTCGCTTAAGTTCGTAACATATTATTATCCGCTATAATAACTAAAATACTATAGCTCTAACGAAGAACTTATAATACTATTCCCGTACGAAGTATATTATTATTTAAAAAATATAATATAAGGAAGCGTAAGCTACTAAGAATATAAATCTCTAATATATAGTTACTAAGGAATAAATTGCCGACATCTTTACAAAGGCTCTACCCCGAAGTATCTTTAAATAATACTATTAAATATTGGGATTATTAGAACCTTCTACCTTATTATTACTATTAAAGACTTATTAATACTTTTTTAATACCTAACTACCTATCTCCCCGTATATATATATTTACTAGACCTTCTATACCTAATAGTTAATTACTATATTACTTTTTTCATCTTTCATTACTTTTATATTAGGTTAGTCCTTTACTTATAAATCCTACTCCCCTTAATTAAATATATATATATATCGACGGTTTAAATTACAATTTTCCAATTTCCACGAAATTCTCTAATATAAAAAATTTTAAAAATTGATTCACGGCCATCTCAATACCTTCCAACCCTCATACGGCTTTATAAGTGTCTTTATTTTAACCGTTATACTAAAACGAATCGATTAGTATCGCTTACATAATCTTATAACCTCTACATTAAAAGTTCTTACATTTTTTATCTTTTACTTACTTTTTTATTTTTATTTTTCAAATTTATTATACTTATTATTATATTACCGTTCTTATATTAACCCTTATAGTAGTAATCCTTTTTCCTACTAGGTTTTACTAGTACTAACTATATTGGGCGAAAGAGAAATACTTGTAAATAACCTTACTTTCGCCGTTTTTAGCCTATTTCCACCTATTTTTCTCGTTATAGGACAATCCATATTTGGATCGAGGGGGAGTGTTAAAGCCATTACTATTTCTTAACATTCTTAGTATAAGTAGATACGATCCACATATACTTACCCTGTATATAAGTCGGACTCTATCCTCCTCTTCCCTTTACTCTTTTCTCTCTTTTAAATTAATTAAGACATTTACTACCACATTCGTCGTCTCACGTGATCACCTCCTCCGTATGGTTCAACACGCACCATGTCCCAGCATCACTAGTTCCCACCCCCGTTTCACTACGCGACCTGCGGCACGGATCGTATCCCGTAGTACACATTCCAAATGATTTCCGCTGATTTCCAATGATATCTTGGATTGCACACCTGAGTTTTGCACCGCCACATATTCGAACCGTAACTGTGGATTTTGAACCCACAGTTACCCGAGTGGTGGAATGAGATGGGAAAGAATGTAGGTGCCTGGTTTCACCGTGCCGCTGGGTAAGGGTTGATATGGATTTATTTATGTCCGGTATGCCGGTGTTGGAAAACCTTGGTTTTGCATTTGGAATCATGTCATTTGACTGCGATGGGCTTAGGGTTACCAAACCAATATCTCCTGTTTGTCTGGAGTTCTGCCGGTGGATTTTTAGCTGCCAGGGGAAGAGATCCTGTGAGGCGGATGGGAATTGAGTTTTGAGAATTGGAGGTGATTCGTTGTAGGCTACGATATTTTCTCCTTGAGTTCGAACAGTATTCACGTGATTCGAATGATATGGTACCTGGGAACCAGATATAAAATTGGCGTTGGCAAACTAGGAGTCTAAGATGGTTGTAAAGAGGTTCAGTTGTATTTGGATAATAGTTAGAATGGGTAAGCTAAGTAGAGCAAGCCGCTCCACCTGTAAATAACATATCAAAGCAGCGGGGTGTTGAAGCAGTGCTGTTTTATGATCCGGCCGGATTGTGATATTTGACTATACTAGTAGTTTCTGTCCATCATACCAGTGATGACCAAAAGGAGCGTGAGTAGTTCGATATGCAGGGTAAAAAGAAACCTAAACAACGCAAACAATAACAGAAAGTGAGAAAGATAAAGTGGAAAAAGAAAAACCCCAAATCACCAAGCGCCCCCACTCCTTGGGGAGTGTCAGACCCATCTAACAATGATGTCATGCAAAGAAAAGCAATATGCCACGCCCATCACTCCGTCCTCTAATAAAGACCAGTACGCCAAAGAAGTCCGGTAGGAAAAACCATGAGTTGCCTCGCAGAGATCTGATGGAAGATGTGAGCAGTCGCTTAGCGCCTCGAACCGCTGCTGGAGCCCTTCTGTAATTATCTCAAAGTTAGCACCCGTGCTATCTCAGTGTCATGGAGTAAGAAAGGCTTACCGAGCTACCGTGAGAGGAGCCGGACTTGGATCCAGACGATGAACCGTGAGAAGAACCACCGCGGGAGCTAGAGGACTTGGAGGCAACGTCCGTCTTGATGAACCCGAGGGCAGAAGAACCCATGGCGATCGAGTCCCAGTTGGTCTTTCCGGACGAGGAGCCGTGAGAGGAAGAGTTGCCAGACATTGTGAAGTTTCGGTTAAAGGTGGAAGTTGAGTGGAAAGATTGTGTTGTTGAACTGATGTCGAGTGTTGCTGAGAGTATGATGCGATGAGCGACTGTTGGATTGTTGACTCTTCAGTTGATGTTGGAGCTGTTTGAGTTGTGTGATGATCCAAGCAATCTGGTTGAAGGTGTTGTCGGCCATCTTTATATGCCATCTTGATAACGCCGAGTACTGGTATAGCATACAGTAGGAGTGGTTGTGTCGAAGACCGAATGGGGCCGGTTACAGTCCGAGGAGCGACTTCTTCCAAGGTCAGTTGTTGAGTACACCATTGATGCGTTATTCTCCCTTGATTGACAACGGAGGTGAGGAACTAAGTCCGGCCGGTTCCAAAATGGTGATCGAAAATGGCCGGGAAAAGGAAGTTTCTAACCGGTATTACATGCGATTGGCCAATTCCAATGTCAGTGGTAAAAAAAGATCGCTAAAAGCTTAGGGTGGTACGTGCGGTGGTGATATGTTTGGAAAAAATGCCCTATATCTTTGGGTGCCTGATTCAGGAGTCAACATCACGACAGCCATAGCCACATGTTCCCATTTCCCGTTCTTGGGCTGTTGAGCTGTAAAGGTATATTGAGAGGTTAGATAACAATCAACCTGACAGGAACTGTAGACTATTCCTCAAATAATTATCATCCAGAACACCTGACGGCTTGGATTTGACTCCATCTGTTGAAGTGGCGGCACGTCCATGGGGGTGCAACTGCTAACGAAGGAAACCGCAATTTTTAGCGATACAACATGTCGGGATTTGTCCTTTGAGATTGCTCAGTCCCAATTCATTTCTGTATTGATTGAACTGTTGTGCATTGCTGTGTTGATCGTTCGTTGATACCTTTTGATACCTAACAATGGAAGGTGAAGCTTTCGCCAGATGTCGGATCGTGACAGCTTGAAGGTTTGGGGGCGTGATAAGGTAGTGGCCAGCTCCGCTGGGGCGTAGTGGTATCGAAACCAGGCGGTGACCGCTACAAGAAGCGTCCAGTAGGGGTAAACTGGCCCTGTGGCTGTCGTCACTGGATCGGTGGTTTAGGCACCCGCTTAGTTGGTAATCATCCCTGAATGCACGGACACATATGATTTTATCGTCCCATCTCGGCGGCGTGGATTCCACGCCGACTGCACCGAGAACAGCCATTCTGGAGGAATGGAAGATCTAAGCCTGTGATGGCTAAGGCACGTTGTCCAAACAGAATGAGTGTAATATTGAAGCCTAGTTCTTGTTCAGGCAAACGGTGAGAGCTGGGCCGATGCGTCCGTGATTGCGGAGACTGTTCCGGGAGTCCGAAGTCCCACGTTTCCGGAGTCCGAGCCCGGCACGCGGCTCAGCCCTATGATTCGACCAAGTCGGTACTCGACTCATTTCGGCATTCCTCCTGTTCGCCTTACCGCAGGCGCGCTATCAAGCTTCCGCGCGCTCATAGGGCTGCGTGTGACATCAAGGAGCAGAAGAGCTTGTCGCCATTCTGGATTTCGAGATTCCCTATAGGCTGCAACTAGATGTTGCACTTGTTGCTCAACATTCTTCGCAGTGCTTGTATAACAATGGTAGCCTGCAGCATCAGCCACATTATCATTCTGGGCGTCCTACGGCTGAAGAAAGCTCATATCATCCAGCATTGCTTGCCACCATTCGTCGCCTAGGAATGACACCGGCGACAGTGCCTCAACCGGCGCGGGGTTCCCGGGGTCTGCGATCATCTCAGTAGCTGGCATTGTTTGTCCTTGGTATTGTGAACCCGAGTGGTGCATCGGCGGATGATTCCCAGTAGCGGCAGAATTCGGCGCTGCAATCTTGGAGAGATACCACGAACGAATCCATCGGAGCTTGTCGCGGTGCATGGACATCACTGACAGAGTGTCAGTGACGTATTTGCGCTTTCGCCGCCATTCTTCTGCAATGGCCACGTTGTCCGCCTGATCACACCGGTCACTAAGGCGTTGCGTTATGCCGGCAAAGTCAAGGCTCTCGCCGGCGAGCTTGTTATTCCAATCCGGATCTTGTAAGAAAATCAGGCGTGTGGCGGGAATCAGGGAGAATGTCATGTGGCAGTAGGTGTTGAAGGGTAGATAGCTAAGGTCGGCCACGGGGATGGAGGCGTATGCATCCAAAGTTGCCTTGGCAGCATTCAGGCAGCACCACATTGCTTCTGACTTTCGGATGCCGTCAAGAGGAGAGACTGACGATGATGCCATATATATCGCGGGTTCGTATAGCCTGGCGAGTATGCCTTTGAAGGCAATATCAAAGGACACTTTGGGGTCCAGGTCAGCAAAGTCAGACCCATCCAGCCGGTTTCATCACCCAGTGATCAATCCTCTTGTACGTACAATTATCTCGAATGTTGTTTGGTGCTTGCATCTTGAGATCCTCTAGATCGGCACGTAGAGTTGTCATAGCCATATGTGCGGCTGCGGAGAAGGTCGTAGTGCCGCTCCCATCCGAATCAGGAGCCGGGAAAACCGCAAGGATCCTACAAACAATAAGTTGCATTCTAATGAGGACCACAAGGTACGTGTCCTCAATGTACTCTTGCTCGGCTTCGATCTTGTCACAGCAGAAGGATATGTAGCTGGAGCAGGGCATCATGGGGATATGTCGAAATAAGGCAGCAGTGCTATGGAGTGAATGATATTAGAGCTAGTTCATCAAGATAAATACCAAAAGCAACAAGGCGATATTCACATAAGAGCTGAACAGCACAACTTACAGTGAACTGACATAGAAGCATCCGAGATAGGTCCGCATATCCTCCAGTGTATGAGGCGGCCGTCCCCGGAAGCCGTTACGACATCTAGACTCTTCCACAAACTGGTTTACACCATTGGCGACGTGCTTAGAGGGTATGTGGCTGTTGAGGCCCAGATCTACCACAAGCCCGACTGCTAGCTGGTGTAAGGTTGTCACCCATGATTCGGCATAGTAATGAGATTCGCTCCTGTTGCACAAGAGAACGCCGATAGTCAACAACCACGGATCACAGACAGTCAACAAGGGGTGAATCAATAGTAAAAGTGAACCAACCATGCAATGAACAGCAATATGGCTTGTAGCAGGTCCAATCGCTTCTCCTGTTTGACGACGATATGGGTTGCAATGTACTCACGAAACCAAGCAATGATACCACGTTGCAAAGCGGCGCTCTGAGGGGCAACGATCTGAATGATGGTCCGAAATAAGAATGGCTGCCTTTGAAACAGGTCCTGCGCTGTTGTATTTCGTGGGATAGGCACAAACGGGAATCGAGGATGATAGTCGGTTTGGTACAACTTGAGCAAGCGTTCTGCTTCACACATGGTTATGCGCAGGTAGCCGTATGGTTGTGGAATGATATCGATACATGCCGTTGGCGGTATGTAGCTCTTTGTAGGCTCGGACCCTGGAGAGGAACTCTGGACAGTAGAGGTCGGAGTCTTAAGGGCGTTATGGTTCGGAGGAAGGCAATCCTGAGTACAGCTCATGGGGAGTATACAAAAAGCTTCCGAGGCCGATGAATGTTGCTGGGTTGATGTCGCCGGTGTTGGCTGTTGACCAAAGGATGGGTTTTCTGGCGTATCATGACTGGAGGCAGGGTGTTCAGATGTAGAAGCCGATTCTGGTGCCGAAGACTGTTGTTGAATTTGCCTTGAAGCGTTGAGGAGTGAAACGAGGCCGTCAATCTTTTCCTCCAGTTGGCCGACTCGAGTGGATGGTCCGCGTCGTCGTCTTTCGCCGTGGTGGGGGACAGTGCAGGGACGACGGCGCAAGCGGGTGCATCGTCGACACGCGCCGACGCCCGGTTCACCAGGCCAAATGCACTTCGTTTTGGACTTGTTGCAGTAGGCACAAGCTCGCTGTCTTTCCTTGGTGCCTGAGCCGTTCGGGTTGCTGCTAATGGAAGTGTCGGCCATGGCTGTCATTTTGTTGGCCGAACGATGGTGGTGCGGGAAGGGGCCGTCCTCAGTTGGTGGTGTGGGACTTATAGCGTACTAATTCAGGGCGTCGGCGGTGCTTTAGCGGGCGATGAGATCGGACCGTCTCAGCAATTGAGAAGCGATGGGATTTCTATTCAAGATCCAAGATCAACAAGCCAAAAGTAAACAATAATGGGAAAAGTAAAGGAATCCTGACCTGACTGAGCAAGGACGGAAAGACGACTGTCTCATGTTATGAGAATCGGAGTCGGGGTCGGCAGTGTAATCGGTCGAAGTTGGTAAAAGTGGGGAGAATCGGCCGCCGGTCCACTTTTGCTGGCCGACCGACTTGTCATCAATACAGCCCGGATACAGCTGGCTCAGCTTGATTCAGATCAGGCCCCTCGCGACGTTGAGACGGCCGTCACACACCCGCAATGTGGCTGGGAGATAATCAAAGACAACTTGGAACAAATTCTCCACAAAGTCTTATGTCATCAGGGCAGCTGCCTGATTCTAACACCTTGTAGTCGAGGTGAAAGCTCCTTCTCAAACGGTTGAATGTGTGATTGGGGAAACCAAAGGCATATTGTAAAATACAGTAAGCGTCGTGCTCGTGTAATATTACAACGACTTCCAGAATCCAGATTGTGATTGGTTGATTTCTAGACATTCCCGTCGCTCGGTTGGACCCGCTTATGGTTACAGACGCACTTTCCTTTTCTGAACGTATTAAGTCAGCCCGCTCCCGTCGGCTCACAGTTGCACCTTCATCATCTGAAGCCATTCCTTCCTTTCGCACAAGCACCCGACGGGAGCAAATTTTCACGGGACAATTTCGGCTCAGTCGAGTTCTCTTGAGACTAACCATTCAACACACTGCAGCGAAAAGAAGAAAACAGCGAGAGCCGCCAAAAACGATAAATCAACCCAACATACAGCCATTGCTCGCTCTTGAAAAGCACGTCAACAACGCCGTATGCGCAATGTCGTCCACCATCTGTCAGTCTACCACGCAAAACTTCACGGCGCATCTCTGAACAGTCCACGACATCTAAACCTCAATCACCACAAGACAAGACACTGCTGGAGCAGTACCTCACATGGCCTGGCCGGGGAGCACTTTGAGCCCTAAACATCACAAAATGTCAGTTCTGTCTAGCCAAGAAAAGCAGCAAGGGTCGGAAAGTCAGCTTACAAGAATCCAGATCCTCATTCACCATGTTCCTGACGGCGCACTTGTTCATCGCCTGCACATTCTGGCTCTTCAGCGGCCGGCCGTTCTCACAAGCGTTGAACATGCAGCTCGAATCCATCGCCTTCTGGAGCGAGTCTCCCTTCCATCCGAACACGTAATCCGCGTGGGTTCCGTATCCCTTGTTGTCACCATAGCTCAGCACGAAGGGGTTCGACCCGTCCTTGGGCCACATGTTGTTGAACTGGGTGGTGTCCCAGAGCGTCTCGTACGCCACCTGTGGCATGCGTACCGGGTGCGATGCTGGGCAGGGGCCGGCTGGAGAGAACGCCTCCTTGGCCGTGTTGTACATGTGTGACTGGTGGTCGGGCGAGTCGAGATTCTTGCCGTCCCAGCATGACGGGAAGTGGTGGACCGTCATGATGCCGCCCTTGCAGGGCTTGGTCGGGAAGTTAGGCAGCTCGGGGAAGCGCGTGTTCTTGTCAGTCAGGCAAACGAATCGTAGCCCAGCGTGGCCCTTGGCATCGTTGAGACTGTTGGTGGTGGGAGAGCCGACAGTCATACGGAAGCCCTGCATGCCCAGGAGTGGTTAGTTACTCCGCGCTCCGGTCCCTGCTAACTATTTCACTTACAGGCTTGAAGGCGGTAATCTTCTGGTTGCCGTTCGAGTTAAAATCCTGTTGCGTGTAGTAGATGGTCATGCCACCGTTGATACCGTTGGGCAGAGCAGCGTTCTGCATGATGGGCACACGCTTGTAGGTGCCGTTGGCGTGCTTGAAGAACATGACGGCCGTCCAGTAGTTGGAAAAGTCCTCGCTGAATGTGCATGTCGTACAGCTGCCTTGCTGCCCGATATCACCTGTCATGGAGACGTTGAAGGCATTCCCACCGACGATTTGGTGGACGTGTGACGAAGGAAGACGGCCAGGCTCGACAAGGGGATCAAGACGCTGAATCGAAAGAGTTGAGCATCCAAAACGAAGCGCCGCTTGTGAAGGCCCGGCGAGAGCCAAAGTGATTGAAAGCCACTTCATCGTGTTCTGCGATATGTTTCACTTCAGCAGCACTACAGTCAAAATTTCCGGTGAGCTTGATCAAAGAGGAAGAGGGCAGACAACGACATAGAGATCTGGGGGCCATCCGACCATCGTTTCTATCTGACAGCATCACATCGTCGGTTATCGTTGCAAACCTCAAAGACTTCTCAAATTCTGCCGTGGAGACTTGCCGTCATTACTGGGTGTTAAAGCTTTCTGCTATTCATCTATTTCAAGTTAAATGCGGGGTTCATGGGGGTTTGATCCTGTCCACACACAAACTTCCTTCTGCAGGCTAAAAGGCGCCCTCACTCCCATTCGAAGCCCAGCACCTTCAATTACACTCGCCACAAGCGGAACTGAGATGCAGTGGTGGGCTTTCCCTTTGGTCGGTGCTATTGGTAGGAGTCCATGTGCCGGGTCCTCGCCTTGACTCCTTTTCTCAAGTGGTGTAGGGCCAATCTCGTCGTCTACATCGAGTGATTCCGGATTCCGAATCTATATATCCATGAGCTGCCCATGGCCAATGGCCTTCCTGCAAAGGCTCTACACTTTCCCGATCCAGAGTCACCAGGCAGGCGGCCCAAGGGTGTGTTCATCACATCGAATTCCGGCAGTGATCTGTTTGGAGACCTGACTTGCTTGGTACTCACTCCAGGAACGGCTTCAACTCAATACGTTATATCAAACCTGCACAATGCCGACGTGTGACGGAATGGCTTCAGCCGAAAATATCGAACACGGATCTGCCGGGCTGTGATCGATCAGGAGTGGCAAATTGGGCTCATATCACAGGTCATTTGGAGGACTAACTGACTTCCACACCCGCGGCAACCGCTTCACAGGAGAGTCTCAGGTACTGTCAGTCTCTCGTCAAGTCCCGAGAAGCAAAGCGTATGAACAATATTGTTTTACCTTCGCATTCCAGGATAACCAAGGTAAAAGAATGTTTTCAAGAACTACGCACAACGAATGGCAGGTATATACATCTGTGCTATGAGCCCGCTCTCCTCCCCACTGCCATCAACGCTTATCAATGTATGTGGGAGAATACCCATACTGACATCAAGAAGCAGGATTATCGATTCCAAGTCCTCATATTCCAACCTCTCGGTGATGTCCAAGTTCACAACATTCTTGCCGAGTTCATCGCCTAGAAGCTAAGAATAGCACCGGCCTGCTTCGGCACGGTAGCTGCCACATTCGAAGATCCAAGAAGGCTATATGAGTACGGCGGTGAATTGGCGGTCAGGGTACCACTGGGAGCAGTGTTGCTTGCACCTCCAAAGTCGTTGTCAATCTCTACGGCATAGCCGACTTGCTTCGAGTACTTGCTGAGAAGAGGCTCCGTCACGTTCTTGAAGGCGTTGCTTTGAACCAGAACCTGGGCACCCATTCGGGTGTTGATTGCAGTCGACATGCTGAGTTGAACAGTTTGTCAGCCTTTGCCTCTCACGCATGGATCCATATGTGTTGCGTAGCGACCACTGTGAGACGGCAATCACAATCGACACTTACTTCTCATAGTAGGAGTTGTAGATGTGTGCGGTGCCAAACCGGACCAAGGGACCGCGCGAGCCACAATTCTTCCAGTAGTTGTTGGCATAGGTGATATGGAGGTGCCCCCTATCTTGGGAGCCGTTGCTGTCGCTGTGGCCGACAAGGGAGCTCTTCCAGTGATCATGGAAGTAAGTGCTTCAGGGCTTGGTTAGTTCATCTCTGACCGGCATCTTGGGTAAGTGTACTCCGATTCAAGCTTACTGAGAGATTGTCACCCATTCGGACCCATGGGAAACATCAACAAGACCGTCATAAAAGTCCTTGTCGCTAACCAGATCCGAGTAGAACTCGCAGTGGTCAACCCATACGTTACTGCTTGCTTCGATCGTCAACCCATCTCCGTTGTCTGCCTCCACGAAGGACGAAACGATGTTCCGGAGGATTAGGTTGCTCTGCCGGCGAAAATGAAGGCCAACACCGTTGAACCCTGCGCCAGGCAAGCCTATGATGGTCTTGTTGCTGGCGACTCTGACCTTCTCATTGCCACTGATTACACCTTTGATGACAACGATAGCCGGAGCGGTGTTCTTCTCACTGACAGCCGCGGTGAACTGGGCCAAAGTCGAGACCGTGGTAACAGTGCCGCCTGACCCGCCGGTGGTTCTGTCCGAGGCCTGTCAGTTGTTGACTTCTCTCTCAAGTTTGAACCGTCAGGATTACTTGCCCTCCGTTCTGGGTCGCATAACCTAAGTCGGCTTTATCGGAAACAGTTGCTCTCTTGGCAAGGTGAACTCTCTCCTCACTGTCGCGGGTGGGCGTTGGTGTTGCCGTCGCCAGAGCGAGCAAAGCAGTCAAGGAAAAGATGGGCTTCATCGTTCCGGTGGAGTGTTCGAGGACTTTTGTTATGCTCGATGGCCTATACGAATCTCTTACCCATTGCCGGAGCGCCAGAGACATGTATCTGGCCTAGGCTTTATACCTGTCTCCTGATCTCTGACAAAACCACTTCGTGGGCTTTCCCGAGAAGATCGCCTCAGCTTCCGCAATTCGAAATCTCCGAGAGTAACCTCCAGTGGTCATGCTAACTACGTTGAGTGTTTCACTCGACTTAATTCCGTCGCTGGCGGAGAATTGTTTCCATGATTGGCCGCTCCATCTTGGAAAATATGTAACATTGGGCACGGGTTATTCCTGAATTATCCACCAATCCCCAAATTTTCCCTGAGTTCAGTTGTGTGTCTTGGCATTCGACGCTCTCGAAGACGATTTCTCCGAAACACATCGTTACATGCAACATGGAGAACAGCGGAGGGACTTGAAACAAGCGGAAATTGATATGGGACCGTGGCCGACTTGACAGTACTCAGTGTGCCTCTCATCCCTCACTCCGATGTCACAGACAAAAAAGCATACCCGAAAGAAAACCAAACTTTTGCGAGGACGTTCCTATCGTCTTACGATTAAACAAACTACAATGGACTATTCTATCCTACAAACGAACGATAAACCTCAATAATATCCTTCATCATATGTACCCCGGATTGTCCTCTGATGATCTTCACTCTTTAACCCCTAACCTTCATCTTGGCAATCACATCCTTCTGGAAGGTGAACCAAGAACCCGAAACCTGCCACTCCTTGGCCGGGTCTGCCAACTCAATCTCGAACCTGTGCAACAGCGTCGCACAAACCTTGTACAGCTCAAACAAGGCAAAGTTCTTGCCAGCGCAGATACGCGAACCATTACCGAAGGTCAAGTCTGCCGCGTTGTACTTCTGCATGCGGACATGGAATGCCTCGTCATCTTCACCGGATTGCTGCAGCCAACGCTCAGGACGGAAGGTATCGGTATCCTCGCCGAAGATGCTCTTGTTGCGGCTAACGACCCAAGGGTTGAGACCAACAGCGGTACCGGCAGGAACAAAAGAGCCGTCCGGAAGCGTGATGCCGCCAGCGGGGACGTAGCGCTCAAGAAGAATAGCAGCAGCAGGGTGGATACGGAGAGCTTCGCGAACGCAGGCTTCAAGATAGGGGAGCTGGCGAGCGCCGGAATAGGGGACAGGCTTGGAGCGGTCAAAACCAGCGGCCTGGATCTCCTCGGACACCTTGTTGTAGACGGAAGGATTCTTGAGCATGTAGTAGAAGACAGCGCGGAGGGAGATGGCAGTGGTGTCGGCACCCGCGAGCAGGTTGACGAGCACAGCACTAATGATCGCACCGTCATCAACGAGGTCCGGATGAGTCTCCTTGGAGTCGATGAAATGCTGCAGGTAATCCGGGTGTTTGGGGTCATAGTTCTCGTCCTTGCCTTGCACGCGAGCAACGAAGGACTCGACGGCGATGCGAGCAGGGTGGACCAAGTTGGGAGGGCCGACACGCTTGACGGGGTTCTTGTCAAGGAAGTAGTCAAGGATAGGTATCTGACCGACTGTCTGGAAGTAGCGAAGGGATTGCTCCATTTTCTCAATGGTCCCATCGAAGTCACCGCCGTGCTCCATGTAGCCGAAGCGACGGCTGAAGACCACGGAGCTGATGAGGTCCCAAGCGTCTGGATTTGAGCACGGTGTCAGTTCATCTGCTCTTTGAACACAGTCATGGTACGGCGTTCCGAGGAAACTTACGGTATCCGAGCCATTCGCCAAAGTCAAGTTCCTTAGGTCCACCGGGAACATCGATAAAGCGCTCCTCAACATACTTGCAAAAGTCGTTGAGAACAACGTCAACATGGGGCTCCAGAGCCTGGACATAGCTCGTCGAGTAGTACTTGGCTATCGGCTTCTTCATCCTGGTATGTTCAGCTGGGTCCGTGGTGCTGAACATATGGTATGTGATCTTCCCATTGACGATGGCGCTGTTGTTATGATAGAACTCGGTCTAATCATCGTTTCGTCGTTAGTTGATTGCTTTACGACGCAGGCCCTGTGAGAAACATACCTTGAGCCACTTGTTATCAGTGCCGTAGATGGTCTTGATCAACTCGGGGTAATCGAGGTCGAGAGTGTTAGGGCCGATACGGACAACGGGTCCGTACTTCTTGTGTTGTTCATAGATGACATCATGGTATCTGCCAGTCCAAGCATGGTAGAGTCGCCACCAATTGGTAAAGGCTGGAATCGAAGAAGACGACGGTCAGCAACGTACTTCCTCACACACGACACGAAATCTGAGAAACTCCTATTTCACATACCAGCAAGAGGGGGGCCCGGGTACTTCTTCAACGGGCTGGTAGCCCACGAGATAACGTACCACCCAAGAACCGACAGGATGGGAATGACGACAAGAGAGATGAATGGCGTCCCCATTTTGGCAGTCTAGAATCAAGCTGTGTTGAAACTTGAAACTCTCCAGGAGAAAGATGTTTCCCGGAGTCCTTATGAAGGAAGGTCACATCGTAGTGCGCGTGTTAATCAGCGGGGCCTGGGCAAACAAGAGTCCATCAGAGTGGTGGCTGCCCAGGAGACGAAGAAATTGGCATTCGCCAACACATGTCCGGCCAACCCAACCGGAATTTTCAAATTTACGGAGAAATGGGAGAGGAGTGGATCTTTGCTATGAGCTCCGGACTCGAGCAGTGCCCAAGACTCGCACCAGTTCATGCACCTCAACGTTAGCGTGCTGGCGCTGTACACGTATAATTGCACCAAGCGAGTTGTTCTATTATAAACGGTGTCGAATGTGGATACCCCTGAGCTTGACGAGAAGAACAAAAGTTTTGTCTCAACCACCGAGGTGATGCTTCAAGTAGTCTCAGACCTCAAACCTGCTGGACCTCCGAAACGCGCCCGCCCGCCCCACCCCCTTATACTACCTACTAATTAGCGGACGGGTATACTTTTCTACGGTAGTAGGTCTGAGCTAACTTTGAACGTTTTGGCCATTAACCGAAATTATAATTCTAATTAGAGCGAAGTTTATTAAACTGTATAATTATAGCTATATTCTTTTTTTATATAATATATTTTAATTAGAATGAAGTTTACTAAATTATTATATTTTATTCGCCCGATTCGATTTATTATTCGTTTTAGGAATCGCCCCTTCCGGCTTTACTTAATAATTATTCAACGTTCGCGCCTAATTTGCCTAATTTTATATCCTAACTTTCTATTTTTTAAATTAGCCTAATTATACTGGTATATTTAATACTTCGTATTGTTTTAGATCCTATAGCTTCTAATTTAACCCCTTGCTTAATTCTATTTCTTTTGTTGAATTTAATCCCTTATTTATTTCTATTTCCTTTATTGAGTCCGATTAGTCTCGAATTTTAAGATAGGTTGAATTCGGGTATTTATAATCTGGATTAGTATTTCGCTCGTATTATTTAAGAATATTGGGCCTGTTTTAATTTTAAGAAGGGGATATTAAAATAATTTATCTATAGTTAGGTAAAAGTAATTTGAAGCGATAATTAGTTATTTAGATTTTATATTAAGTAATTTATTAAATTATTACGAAATTAGGATGTATATGAAGTTTTTAATCGTTGTAATATTATAATATAGTTTGGCAACGAGGATTCTTTATACAATATAAGGAGTTTCCGTCGGGAATTTACTTCTTTCTTTAAATACTTTAAATTATTTTCGTTTTTTACGAAGTTTAGCGTATCCTTTATTTTAGGTAGTAGTAAGCTATATAATATCGTCGATTTGTACGATATTAAATAGGTTATATCGGTTATAAGCGGGTATATTACCGATTTATTTAAATATACGCTTTAAATTTATTTATTCTTCTAGGGTTTAATAGAGTATGTTTGCGTATATTAATTATTTTATAAATTACGAGTTCGTTCTAATAATATTCTTTCGTTTATAATATATATAATTTTTATAATTATTATAAGTATCGTCGCCCTTAGGAATTTTAATTTCTTTTTATAATTTATAGGTTTATATTTGCGTATTAACGGCGTAGTAAAGCGTATTTAAAATATATTAATTACGTTCGGTATTTATATTTTCTATATTAGGATTATGGTAATAGTTAAAACCTTTACGGATATTAGAATAATTAATACCGTTACTTTTTATATTATAATTTGAAATTTACGTTTTTAGGCTACTTTTAAATACGTTATTTTTAATCCCGGTCTTATTATTATTTATAATAATTATAATTATTTAAATATTATTTATGGCTTTAGTATTGGTTGGTAGGATATAATGCGTAACTTTATTATTTGTTTGTTGATAAGTAGTTTTAACATATATAGCCTTTTCCGTCCCGATTAATTCCGACCTACTATTCTATTTTAAAAGAAATAGGTTATTCCGGTACTTGCTTAGACGCTATAAACGTTCTATTCTACTTTCTATTCGTTAGTAACCAATAAATTATAATTTCTTTTTTAATTTCGGCTAATAGGATGGTTTATTTTGTTATATTTTCTTTAAAGTTTAATAATATTAGATACTGATGAATTTTATTCTTTAAATTTCCGCTATCGATAAAAATGAGAGTAAATTCGTAAGTATTTATTATTTATATAAAAAAGAAATTTTTGGGTCTTTTAAATATAGATTAGGCGTAATTTAGTAATAGGCTTTTCTTTATTTATAGTAACTACAAGACGACGTTTTATATTTATAAGATTATATTAATATAATTAAATATATAGGACGTATACGATTGTAAATAATAAATAGTTTCCGTCCTTATATTTTTTTATATTAAAATAAACTTCGTTAATTTAATTTTTCAATATTTTTAGCCTTTTATAAAATAAGATATATATAGCCTTAGGAGGGCGAAAAAGATAAAAGAGTATGAAATTAAATTATATTATAGGTTGCGGCTTTTTTATAATATATTTTATTTTAAAATTCTTACCTTCTTTATACGAAGTTTAATCGATGCTTAATTTTTAAATTTTGCCGTCCTTAGTTGGGAGAGTATTAAAAATGTATTTTCGGCTGCTATGTAAATTAATAGACCCTTTTATTTATTTACGTAATTGGATTACGTTTATAATGAAGTATTTACTTAGTAAAAATATATTAGTAAATATATAAGGGGTAACGGAATTAATATTAATATTCAATTCTATAACGTATACTGGTACTCCTATATTGTCTACGTATTAATTATTTTTATTTGCGCTGTTTAATTCAATAATTATAGTATATTTCGGTAGATTATTGATTATTTACTATTTTTCTTCTATAGTAGAAAGGTTATAAATTATGGGCTTGAGATATTATACTTTTCGTAGCTTTTCCGATTAGAAATTATTGATAGCGAAATATCTGAAGCTATTTTAAAATTTAATTTACTAAAGTGTATTATAACCGGTAGCGAATAGAAAGAAATCGATTTAACGATAGAATATATTAATTATTCGTTTACTATCGATATTAAATATAATAAGAATTCTACGTACAATGTAAAATTTATTTTTATAGAATTATTAATTATTAGACCCCTTATTGGGGCTATTCGTAAAGTAATAGAATTAGAATTCGGGCAATTTAATAGTAGTAAATATATTAATCCGTTTATTAACTTCAATATTATTAAATATATTTGTACGATATATAAGAATATGTTTATTACGCGGCATTATAAATAATTAAATATTAATGATTTCGACGTATCCCACCTATAGTATAATAGTTTATTTAAATTATTTTCGGGTATATTTAGGCAATTTAATAGTAAAGAAGTACGGTTAAAGAAGGGGGGAGATTAGGAGTATTTCAGTCTCTTTAATTACTACGAAGACGACGATTTAGTTATTATTAATAATATTCGAAATTCCGGGGACAAAAGCGATAGTAGGCCGGTTTAAAAGATAATTATACTAAATTTTATCCGGACTAATTTATGAAAGTAATTTATTGAATGGTAATAATTTGTAATATAAGGTTTACGTACAATTCCGTTATTAATATTTATAAATCTCCTACGTTTAAATAGCCTTCGTTCTAATTAAAATTAGTAGATAGATTCGAATATTAATATTCGATATAATATTTTTTATTCGTATTTACCCGCCGGTCGACTTTTCTCTACGCGCTAATTAGGTCGTTACTTTATATATTACCTACGTCCGAATTGGTAATCTAATAAATTTTGTAATTTATTTAAAATTATAATTCATTTTCATTAAAATTACTATATTATATTACAATTTATTACTTACTAATATTAATAAATAGACGTTTTATAACTATTATTAAATTAGTCGTCCTTAGATTTCGTTCTAATTAAAATTTATTTTATACGGTAGGTAAATTTAAGCCTACTTAAACGTTCGTTATTAAATATTTCGGTATTTACGTATAATTAGTAATAGGGGATTTATTTTAAAATTTGCGCTAATACTTAATTCGATTAGTATAGTTTTTGCCCGCCTATTTCTTACTTCCTTCGCTCCTTCTTGTGACGATATGGATTCCGCGACCCTGGCACGGGTACTGCGGACCTACTCGTCCCATTATAGAGACCTATATCCTTAGGGATATACGCCCTCTGGTTAGCTACACCGGAACCTGGATATATAGGCCTATTTAATTAGTTCGTTACGACTATTCAATTAGTACTACGATTAATATATCGCATTTATATATATTATTAAATTAGATAAGGAAGGTGGTAGGGGCTGGCAGAATCTAGGCTCATTCTATATAAGGGTGTATACTAGAGCCTAATTCTCAACCTCTCCCTCTTTCCTTCTTTAATTTTAATTATTTATTTATTTATACTTAATTACGCGATACGGAACTACGTAAGCTAATATGTTGTAATATTTAATTTAAATTCTTTTATATCCGTTTAGGAAAGTATTATAATGTTTTAATTTAAACTCGAAGAACTTGAAAAGTCGCTTCGCCGACTTCTTAAACCCCGATTTTATTACCTTATCGACAACGAACCTAATATTAATTATGATGAAAGTTAATTATTATAACTAACTACGCCTAAGGCGCGCCGCCAAGCCGTCCTTTCGTCCTTAATAATATTAATTAACCTTATAAACTCAATTAAAACCCCTATACTACTAATTATAATAAATATAATTAAAATATTAATAATACTATTAAAGATAGCGTATAGGAAGATAAGGATTCGGAGGAAGACAATCCCTCTTTTTGTAATATCGGTAATAATAAATTATTCGAAAAATTTAAATTAGTAATTACCTTTACCCTTTCGAAGAAGCGCTATATCTTTATAAATAATCTTTTTAGGATACATCGCTCTCTTACAATATTTTGAAGGAAATTCCCGCTAGATTCGGTAAACGCTTTAAGTGTAATATAAAATTTATTCCTAAAATAAATTCACCTTTAAACTT